AGAGGGGGTCATGGGATAAGGGCAATAACACAGGAGAAAGTGAGGATTCAGATGGATCCCAGAGGTCTGGGAGGTTTTTGGTTGCCCCTGTAAGAAGGGACAGAACCTTTCTTACAAAAAGGGCTTATGTTCATATGCTTTACTATATCCACAGGTACCCTTTATTGTATGTATATACTTGGTTTGATTTGGTAAGAGGATGACAAAATCTGATGTGGTAGATAAGGTTCTGCATGCAGACTTGTGGATCCTGAGCTATCCTTCTGAACCCTCTGACCTGCTGAGTGTCACATGCTGGAAACATAGCACCTCTTTCTTATCTTTTGTCTGGTTTATCTGGGATCCCAAACACTCTGGCATGGAGACCGCTTCCTGCTGTGTGTGCAGCAGCTCTGCTTTGTGCCGTGTGGTCCCTCTCAGCATGGGGATCTAGGAGGTACTGTAAACCAGGAACTAATAATGAGTCCTTTGACAAGAGCCTGGAGAAAGTGACAGTGGATTTAAATTCAATACTTACTGAGATTTTCATGGTTTAAATAGGGATGAAGTCTAAAATGAAACACTCTGGCTTTGAGCTAGTAACTGTCTTCTTGGAACCTTTGCCTTGTCTGTCATGAGTTTTGTTTATGGGCATCCCGGCTGAAACTGGAGTTTACCAGTAATGTGGAAAAAAAAAAAAGAGAAGTGAAATGTCTTACAGGTCCACTCTGTGTCCAAAGAACGAGAGCAGGAAATTAAAATGATTTTACAAGGGTTTGATTTCTGTATGTACCCAAAAACTAGCTTAGAAATTAATGATGTTGAGGTTTAGGCTTCAAACAATAAGATGCAATGGGCTTTTGTGGCTGCCTATTTCATAGGTCTTCCAGCCATAAATGATTTCACACATTATACAAGTCTGGAAAAGTCATGCCTGGTGAAGTGAGCTTCATTCAATAAGTTGTTATTTATGGTTCTTAGAGTGCCAAGAATGTGCCAAAATGTATTGTCCTTGATCTTTGCAGGAAGAGATTGTCAACACAGAGAGTGATGCTCCCAAACAGTGAGGAAACAACAGCAGAGTTCTGAACGTGAAGTTGCCCTGGTTAGATATGTGCAGTTAGGTTTGAGTATTTTCTCCCCCAGTAAGTTGATAATGTATTTTTTCAGCTTGAAATTGGGTGAATAAATCCCTGCAGCTACTTTCTCACCTTCAAAAATTAATGTGAATCTGCCAGCGACCTTTCAGAATTTTGCTTTCCCTGAACAGTGAAGAAGACAGCAGAGAAACAAAACTAATGATAAAGAAACTTGGAATAATAATAATAATAATAATAATAATAATAATAATAATAATAATAATAATATCATCACAACTTTTAAAGTGGTAACTTAAGGCTCCAGTTCTTTAAAAATCTGATTAAAGCACAGCTGATGTGGTATGCCTCATCCCAGCTCTAATCCCTGTCCCACTGGGAATCTCTGTTTATGTTCCCAACATTCTGCCTGTTCACCCCAACTCTGGAACAGTCCTGTGCCTGCCAGCTGCAAGGGGGAAGCTGCTCTAGTGCCATCCTCTGGGGTTTGAAAGGCAGCAGATGCAAAACCAGCAGGGCCTGGGGCTCAGGAACATTGACCTTGCTGCAGGCACAAAGGTAGCAACAGAAAATAAATAGAAAGCAAACACTGGAGGAAAATTATTTCTCTGCTTGTTTTAGTTTTATGCTGGGGAAACAAATTTGTGGATGTGTTTGCTGAGGAGGTGGTGTATCCATGCGTGTGAGAATAGTCTCTTTGCCTTTTCCCTGAATGCTGGGAGAGGGGGAAGGAAGGCCCTGGAGATAGCAATGCCCTTTTGTTACAACCCCATTTTTTATAAATAAAAAACACTCTTGCTGTAATCCACTATATTGGGAAGGACTCTGAAGATATTTTGCTTACATTTCACATTTGGGTCCAGTCCAATGCCAGCCAGAGTCAGTGGGAGTGTTTAGATGAGGCTTGTTTTTTGCTATGGATCCAAATCCTCCAATGTTCCTCTTAGTGGCCTTTTGAAAACTTTTGGGGCGGTGAAACGCATCTACAGAGCCCCTGCTCTTGTAAAAGACAAAACAACTTTTCATTGTTCTGAATTTTGTTTTTTTATGAGATATTGCAGCTACTTCTCAGTGAAGCAGGAGTATGGGCCTCAGGTAAAAAAAAATTAACCCTACTCTTCCCCATGGTATTTTGGACTGCAGGAGGAATCTGTCTTCCAGCACAACTGTAGAAAGTCCAGGCAGATCCCAGACCTGACCAAAGGTTACAGGCTGGAGACAGAAACACTGACTAACACAGGACAGAGCATAAATATGTAAATAGTGGGGAAGTCATCCTGCAGGCATGTCTCTGTTAACTCTGGAGCAAAAGGGGAGCAGAGTGTACTTGCATTCAAGGGCAAAGGCTTTCAGAACACACAGCAGTGTTTCCCAGACACAGCTCAGGGCTGTCTGTGCTGTGCCCAGGATGTTCAGGGAGTGGTGATGCTTCTCATGTTTGAATCTGTTGTTTTGGGGCCATGCTAGAAACTGGCAGCAAGAGCTGAGTGGTAGCCTGGTCCCCATTTTTCAGTGCCTACCTAAAAAACATCTTTTAACCTAGCAGCCAAAATCATAGCATGGTCTTGTAGCTCAAGTTAAAATATGCAAATTTAAATTAAAGTGGCAATGCTTTAGTAGTAAATCATTGCTCCTCAGTCTAGTAGCAAGGTCAAGTGGAAAAGCTAGAATAGCTATACTCTGGGGCAGATTACTGAAGTGCAAGCTCATTCTCTATTTCCTTATTGTTTCTTTTTAATTAACTAACGTAGGATTTAATTCTTACAAACGAATCTTGGCAATGACAGGTCTGAACAGCTTCACCAATTGCCTGGGAATGCTCCTTTCCAGAAGCTGTCATCTTGTAACACTTGGAAAGTCTGCCAACTTGCAGCTTAAAAGGCAAAAACACGTGTATTAGCAGAGAGGAGAAGTGTGCTTGGTGAACAGACCTGAGTTTTGGCCAGCAATAAAGATTTCCTTTATTTTCCCTGTCACAAAAACCTCCAGAAAGAAAGGTGAGAGGAATTTGACAACAAATACATTCCAGAAATTGTGAGGGAGAATTTACTGCTGCCAGTCTCTGACTGGTCTGTACCATTTCTGAGCACAGGCTACAGGGTCTCAGTAGTTTTTTTAATTATCAACTGTGCATTAAAGAATATGTTTGGAGATGTAAACTACTGCACCTGTGGAATGTGTAATAGCTCACAGATCTTCTGTATAAACCCAGGAGAAGTATGGATGTCTGACATTTCTTTTGGTGTATTTTTATCCAAAGAACTTGAAGTGCTCTCTTAATACTGTCAGGATTATTGGGCTTGTCTGGTCTGACATACTGAAGATAAGTTAGAGAATTTCTTTCACTAATTTCTGCAGTGAAAGGAATGAGCCCTTGTATAATTATCCAATGTGCAATCATGCCTAGCAGACAGAATTTATTCTACAGCAAAACCATCAATTTCTCACGTACATAACCAGAGAGTTTCTGTTTCCTGCAGTGAGAGCCAGACCAGCCCCTGCTGAGGGGGTTAGCAGAGCTGGCTCCCAAGATTCTTGAGAGAAATTTTGCACTTTATTCCCTCCTCTCAAGGAGTAATTACATTTTGTACCACTCAGATTACTTTCTCCAGCACTTAGATTGTGTGATGGCTGATGCCAACAAAGCAGCTGTACATGGACAGTAGGAAAATGCGCGTCAGGCAAAAGGGGACAGACCAAGAAACAAAATGAACATTCAAAGTGTCTGGTTTGTTTAATATTCCACAGTCCCAGAGAAAACAATCCAGTAGTGACATTTTTAATGTGCAGTAAACTCCAATGGCATTTTTAATATGCCATGTCCCAAGAAGGGTAGAGCTTGTATAATTTTCCTTTTCTCCCTTCCCTCCTCCCCTACTTTCCAGTGGTATTTATTTATGTCACTCCAGGCTTTGGCCAATGTTCTACAGTGGGAAAACATCATTTTTCCACTTTCAATTTGTGCAAAAAAATTCTCTCTCCCTTCCCCATGAAAGGAAATGGGATACAAAGACGACCATGCTGCTTGGTAATTCCCATCTGGATTGCTTATTGACACAATATGGCAGTAAATTGCAACATCTTCCCAACTTGACTTTTTGCTCCTTGCAAGAGGATTTAGATGCCCTCTTTTCAATTTTTAAATGAGACAGATTAGGGAGATTGCTCCTCTCCTCATTGGTTACTACCTAGAAAAAGTACTTTATCCTGCTTTACAGCTGTCCTGTTAACAGTGGAGTGATGGCCTGGGAATCTGAAAGCCCCAGTGTGAGCAAGGACTGGTGAGAGCAAAGGTCCCAGTGTGGAAAGAACAAGGAGTTAACTCTTCTCTGGAGCACCTGCTTTCGTTCTGGGTTTGTCCTGCAGGAAAGGGATTGGAGAACTCTGGATACAAAGGATAACTTCACACTTGTTTTTTCTTGCAACTACCTGACAAAGCTTGGGCAGGTAGCTGATGTGTTAAAGCCATGACATTTTCCCCCAAATTCCATTTTCTTGAAAAGGCAAGTCCTCATTCTGCAAAGGGCACTTTGCATGTCTGTTTCTCATGTGCCTTGCTCACACACAAGTATTACAGGAGCAAAAAATAATGCCTTTGTTAATACCACATTTCTCTTTAATCAACTGTTCTCTGCTTTCTTTTAAATTAAGTACTTCAAAGCTACCCTCTGAACAAGAGAGAGCTCTCCTAAGAGTGTTCTCTGCTCTGCAGCTCTCAGCTCTGTGGGATGCAGCCTTGATCTTTGCATGAGCCAGAGTTGTGCTTTGCAGATTATCTGCGGGACCCCACAGTGTCACTCAGGTGTTCCCAAAAGGTGGGGGCTGGTTCTGAAAATGCAGCTCTTACTCAACTAAATCTGGCATATTATGTAATTTTTGGAGATTTTTGCAAAATTTGGATGAAAACCAGAAAGAAAGCTTCCCATATAGTCAGAATGAACCTGCACTTACTTTTTCTTTGACATGTCCTAATGAGCTGTTTAATTATCAAACATTGAAAATCTGAATTACTTTATGTGACTGAAAAATCCATTGGCTTTAAAAAAAGAACTCCTGAGGGCACATCATCTTTCATGGTGTCCATCTCTGTTAAGCTGTGGGAATGTGCTCAGTCGGTGTCAGTGATGGATCTGTGCTGGTGGGGTAAAACAGCACAATCCAGGAGAGGATGTTGCACACTAAAGCTGAGGGGGATGTGGCCAGAGAAGAGTTTATCAATGAAGATGTTGCCCACTCAGTTTTCTGTCAAATACGAGAAGGAGGGACCAAAAAAGGAACACAGATGATGATGACACAAAATGCTGGGCAAGTCTGCTCCATGAACTATGCTTGTTAACACTGCAGTGAGGTAAACCATGGCTCTGTGAATCAAAGTCAGGGAAAACAATTCCAGAAATAGGGTTGTAACTTTTGGTTCAACATAAAAAATCTCCTACTAGGAATCATCAATAGCAAAAAGGCATTTCTGCCTGTGCTCTCCATAACTCACCTTCAGTAGTCACTGGGCCTGTCCCAGAATTAAATGCCTCACTGGTGCCCCACTGATAAAAGGAGCTGCAGCACTGCTTTTGCCAGACAGGTGAGGACAAACTGGGATTCCTTTATTAAGGTTTTACAAGGTTAGCTGTTCTCCTGCTGCCCTGTAGAAAGTGCCAGATAAAACCCGAAGTGTGACTTATTACTTGTAAAAGAAGGCTTGGGTTTGGGTTTAGCTCCTTTTCATGGGCCCAAATGGCCATCTGAGTGGTGTGAAGGTTAAACAGCCTCACTCTTTGAGCTGTAAGCATAATTAAAAGATTTTGCAAAGGACAATAACTGATAATTGGGCTGATGTGATGTGGAAAATATGCATTTCCTCCTCAGTCTCAGTGCCCCCCTCTCCCTGCCAGTGTTATCACTTGTTTGCATTCCATGAGATATCACAAAGGTCACTTGCAGCAAATATGTCAGCATTCAAATTAGGGGAGCCACTGTGGTTGGACTCTGCCCTTCCCCTGGGAAAAGCAAAGATTGGTTCTCACTTCTGCATCAGGCTGCTGCTTGCCAGGTGGGGGGAGCTTGGCTCAGGGGGAGTGGATGGACCTGGAGGCTGAGGGCACAGGGTGCAATTGCAGCACTGCTGGGTTGACAAAGCAATCACCCACCCTAGGAAGAGTTCACTTGTTGAGCAAGGTTCTTGCTTTGTCAAGTTCCTGTGCAGAGTGAGAGGTTTTCATCTGCTTCAGGACTGAGTTGTTACCTCACCCCTGGCAATACATGTGAAAATATGTTAAGTCTGGGTAATAGATGTTTTGGGCCGTAACAAACAGGGGAGATCTGTTTGTGCTTTAGGGAGCTCTTTACCCAGTACCAGGGGCTGACTGTAGCAATAATTCTTGCAGTGTGTCTGATGATTAAGTTTAAAATGTTCAGAACTGGCTGCTAAATTTGAGATGGGCCAAATGGACTTGGCTCACCATGATCCTCACATGAATTGTATGTGTTTCCATCCATCATCACATTTACACTGGAGATTAGAATTCTTCATTTTATTTAAACATAGGAGCATAGCCTTCCATGAGAAAAATTATGCACAAATTTGTCTGTGTTTCCTGAAAAGAAGGATTTTGGGTACTGATCAGAGATACAATATTAGCTGCATTTAGGCCAGCTACTAGAGACCTCAGGTGGTAACTCTTAGTTTGCCTCTTACTGAGAGTGTTATATACTGTGTTTGCTGTATAAAATAAATCACAATGCAAAATATTACTCTAGCTTTAACAGCCCAAACTCATGCAATTTTCCATGTAATAGGAACCCACTATTTTGATTTTAAACATCTTACTGATTAATCTAGAGAAATCAGATTTATTAACAGAAATTCAGCAACTTCAGAACTCCTTTTTAGGTCACATATGCAACCACTCCATCCTGAACTTCCTGCAGACACCCAGATTTTCAGATTCACTTGAAGGTGAGGGTCAGGTGAGGAGAGCTTGGCAGCAGCAGGGGAATCCTCCTCCCTGTGCACCCCTACACAGAGTTGGACCTTTTACAGAAGGATTCTGCCACAGGGAATTCTCAATCCAGGACGTTAAAATCTAATTATTTGACTTTAAAAATAAATTATATTCTTAAAATTAAAAAATGTATTAATAACACACTAACATGAAACTACAATATTAGCTTCAAAAGTTACAGTCTCTAGTTCCAAACCACCTTAGAAAGGCTTGAAGTTTGCCCAGCCCCTGAAGGGCTTCTAGAAAAGTAAAAAATTATTCAAATTTCCAAAGCTTCAACATGCCTTGCTGATGAGAGGCTGCCTTTGCAGCAGCCTCTCCCACAGCAGTCAGGGAACTTGAGGTGCAGAAGGTGGTATCATGTCTTGAGGGCTGGTCTGATTAAAACAGAAGTGGGAAAATCAAAGTCTTTGAGGCTTCATTTCAGCAAAGTATTTCAGCACAAAGAAAGTAAATTAAGGCTGAAACTTCTGCTGAAATATTGTGTTGAATCAAAGCCTAAAACAGTAATTTGCTTGTCCCCTCATGCTTTAATTGGTGAGGTGAGGCATGAACTGATTGTAACTTCTGCTGCTCTGTAATCATTAGAAAGAATTATTTCATTAGTGCCCAGATAATTTATTGGATTAGAATTAATTTAGGTCAAACAACAATATGTTAAGCCCAAATTCCGGTGTTTGGTTTGGTTTCAATCTTTTTCCTCTCAGGTACAGGTAAATGTATTTGTTTTGGAGGAAACTTTTCAGTTTGAGAATTATTCCTGATAAAACTGTGGGTTTGTCTCTGTCTGCTTAGCAGCAGTGGCTGAAGTGTAGAGCGCTGGTTATATTTTATTTCACTGGTTATATTTGATTTCCATCTGTGCCACCAGTGGGCTTTGAGCTTCTGTCACCTTGAACAGTCCTGGTGTGCGACCTTCTCTCCTGCAGCTGCAGCTCCTCTCAGCATCTCTGCTACTGACAGAGGAGACAATTGGCATCAGACAGCCTCACATCCTTCCATCTGCCTACAGCAACAGGGAGGAACAAGTTTCACCTTGGGACTTAATAATTTGGCTGCATGTGTGTGATAGCTTTAGTCATGTTCATATTAAATGGCTTTCTCTGCTCCTTGCATTGTTCAGCCCAGCCAGTCACTCTATTGTCCTTTAATTTTACATCCCGGCCCCTTTGCCCTCTGTTTCCTTTTCACCTGATCATCAGGCTCATTTTGTCTCCCTTCCCTCCAAGTTCTACTCACAGATCTTAATTTTACCTCATTGCATTTCATTCAGCCTCTTCCCTACCTTCCTTTTCTTCATTTCCCTTCTCTTCCCTCAGGTTTCCTGCAGGAAGAAGATGATCTCTTTCTTCCAGAGGAACCTTCATTTCTCAGTGTAGCCCAAGGTTACAAAGGGAGGTCTTGCTTTTAGTGCTAACAATTTATTCTGAAGAAATTAGCAGCTAAATAAGTCTCTTTTTAGTATGCACAAAAAAGATTATTTTAAGATGGCTTCTAACATAGCCAAATCAGAGTGAGTTTAGACATCACTCAGTTGGAGTCCTTGGCACATAGGGCACTCCCTCTTTCACAAACAAGTGCAACAAAGATGTTTAACAAAATAATGTATGATTTGATTTGGTTTTGGAAACAAAACTGATGTCAAGCAAGGGGGAATTGGATCAGTTGATTTCCTGAGGTTTCTTCCTACCTGAATTACTTACTCTATATAACTTTGCTTTAAATTGGAAGCCAAAATGGTTATCCAGAGACAGACACACAAGGTCAAAAACATCAGTGAAAACAAAATTTTGAATCTGTATCATGTGAAAATAGTGCCTTATAAATAAAAGCAATCCTGCAAATAGGGAGGTATCCCAGAGCCATCAGGAATTGCAGGCCTTATGGGGTAGTTCTTCTTGTTCAAAAATCTGCAAAAACATGCAATTTCTTTGATTTGAGTCAAAAGACGGGAACTGAAGATTTTTTTCCCTTTTAAACATCCTAGAAGTGGTAACAGAGAAACAGCAATAATTTTGTGCAGGAAGAAAGACGGTCATGTCTGATAGTTTTATACTGGCTGGAAAACTGGAGTCATCCTACACCATTACAGCAAATGAACTCTTGGATTCTTATTTCATTCCTCTCTGCCCTTTTTAGTGAGTAGTTGGTGATACGTGGGTTAACAAAAAATGTATTCTCACAGCACAGAACCCCAGGAATGAAGGACAAACCTTTGATGTGGGGGCTCAAGGGCCTCAGGAGCAGAACACCTGGGGATCAGAGGAAGTCCTGGAGCAGAGCACCCACTTTGGAGCAGGGAGAAAGCAGTAGCATGTCCCCTTTGTCAGCCAGCTCTTCCAGGGCCAGGGATCCTCAAGGGCTCACTTCAAAGGCTGACCTGCAGGAATGCTGCAGGAGCTCATTGCAGACACCTGGAGTTTGGAGACTGTCACTTCTGACACTTATAAGTTTTCATTTATATCTTGTCCCTGATGCTATTTATTTAGTCTTACCAACTTGATTAATAATGCTGCTCTTATTTATTCTTACTCACCCAGAGAAACCTTTATTTTTTCAGAGCCTTAGAGTGTACTGTATCTGGCACAGCACAGCACTGCTCCAAATTACTGCCAGCACAACAACAGCAGCACTGCCTGCACTCCATTTCCACCCAAAGTCTATCAGTCTGCCATGGTTTTTACTGCCACTTGCTCTTTACTTGATGCATTCCAAGTTTTCTGCTTTGTCCTTTCCACCTCTGCAGCCTGTATGTGTTGGAGGGGAGATGGGCTGAGTCCTTGGCCTGTAGCCTTTCCCCAGAGTCCTTTACAGAGTTCTCTGCAAACATCTCAGATTATTTTATCTTGCAGGGTTGTCACAGACTTCTGTCTCTGTCAGAGACTGGAGTTAATCCAGGATCAGGAGAGGCATGGAAGGGTGTGGGAGGGAAGTGTCAGGGATCTGGTTTTGCTACGGTTCATCAGGGGCCCAAGGGTAGGAGCTGTCCCAGAAAAGCAGGACCATGGCCTGTGATGAGGAGACATCTGGGTGTGTAATACCAGTGTGAGTCAAGGGATTACACCTGGGAAGAACAGAGCCTCCAGACTCCAACCTCAGTGCGAGGAAGCTCTCCTGAGCAGACGAGGGATGTGTGTCAGGGAGGTAACTCAGTCTCAAAGTGGTTGTGGGCTGGAGCATGAATGTGTCAACAGGGCAGATGAAAGACTTCAGCAAATGTGGACAGAGCAATATCATTTAATCAGTAGGGAGAAATGAGGAACATAAAAAGGTAGTGGAAAAGTAAACAGTGGAGACACTTTTTTTGTTAATTTACTTTCTTGGCAACATTTCTCAGTGTGAGGAAGCAGGGAGCCCAGATTCAGTGTGTTGGTCCCAGTCCAGGGCAGTCCAGAGCACTGGCACAGGACAGAGCTGGCATCAGCCCCGAGTGACAGAGCTGCTGTGTGGCTTGGCCCTGCATGTAAGGAAGGGGTGGCCTCCCTCCTCTCCTGGCTCAGGAAGCTTGTCTGTCCCTCAGGGGAAGTGGAGGAAGGGATATTCTCGCCTTCTCCTTCAATGGAAATGCCAAAGTGACTGTGGAGGTGCATGTGAATAGTCAGGTGGGATCAGGGAGCCAAATCAGCAAGTAGTTGTCTATGCTAGAGACTTAATCCTGGATTTGGGAGATACTTGGGATGTGAGGCTCCCTTAGGTCTGTGAGAAGTTCTAGGTGTGGAGGCAGCAGTGGGGAGGAATATGACTGTTGGCTATTTTTAGAAAGAACAGAGAGTTATCAAGGGTATTTGTGGGCTATTTCCATTGTGAGCAGAAGGTGTAACTGAATATGACTTTGGAACTTTGAGAGAGTTGGTGACTTGCAGTGTCCAACAAGCCACAGTCCTTGAAACAAACACAGCCAGCACAGACATCCCAGCCAGGGCAGTGTCCATCCCCTGCCCAACAGCTTGTCCTTCTCAGAGTGTGCTAATTGTGCTGTGATAAGGTACGGATATAGCCTAAGCTTGGGGTTATTTGTTGGTTGGCCAACCCAGAAATTGCTACCAGGCATCCTCCCTATTTAAAGGACAGAAAAGGTTCTTGTTAAGTCACAGTAATTTGCTTTTTGATGTACACTTAAACCATGTTCATAAGCAGTCTCCAAAATTCAGCTGAGTCACAGATGCGTCTGAAATTCTGATGCCTCAGCTTTTAGCCTGAACTTGTGTCTCCCTAGCCAGCAACACAACAAAGAACAGGTTCTGTGTGCTATCATGAGAAAATTATTTGGGAAACAAAATAGCCCAGAGGAACTAATAAATCAATCAACATTGAGTGGGAAAGAAGCAATGACATATTTTGCCTGTAACACGATAAAGGATCTCTTCAAGAGAAATTTGTCATTAAGAAATGTCTCAATATACTTGTATAATCTTGTATTACTACAAAAAGATCAAACATTGAAGGTTTTTTTTTTAAATCTAGTGAATTTAAGGCATAGAGAGAACAAAAACATTGGCAAATTCCAAATAAATTTTTACAAGATGACAACTATGGAAATAAAGAAGTGTTTTCCAGTAGAAAAATAGCTAGAATATTATGCAGCATTCCTGTAAAACTGCACAGACCAAATGAAAAAGCCCACTCTCCAAACCAGCTCTCTGGAACTGGCCTAGAGTATGAAAAGTGAAAATATTTTGAAAATCTAACTTTGACTGTTCTGTTACTTAACTTTGTGTGCTTTGCTCACCTTTAAGAAAATAAACCATCTGACCTTACTGCTTAATTCTCATAAACAAGAACAGTTGGATATTGTGTGGGTTGCACATTTTGAAAGGAAAAACTGGAGCAGACTTGGTTTCCCAGGGTAGGCCTTCATTTTTTTCCTTTACTTCTCAGCAGTAATATCCCTTTAAAAGGTTCTGAACTGTGTTTTAGAGATTTAGGCTGGGGGTTCCTTTACACCCATCACCTCTTCATTTTACCTTGCAAACTGTGGAATTTCACTGAAGTGAAAGGTGTGTATCCATTCTAAGTGTGAATCTTTCCAGCTAGGGCAGAGACACAGGCAATTTGTACAAGCAGGAGTTTGGTGACAGCTGTGGGAGTCCCGCAGAGGGGTGTCCAGGAGGGATGGCAGCAGGAGGCTCGGAGGGAATGTTTCATGGGGATAAGATGTTCCACAAGGAAAGATTTCCTGAGGCTGAGTTTGAAGAGCTGTGTGCAGAATCCTGAAGCGCAGCACCAAGGTGCTGACAGGGCGGTGGTGTGACTTGTGCAGAGCTGGGTGCTGCCATGGGACAATCCACCATGGCTTCCCCTGTGCTCTGCTCTGCCCTGCCCCAGCCGGCTCCCAGGAAAGCTCAGGAACAGATTGCAGTGTCCAGAGCTGGAGCCTGAAGCCTCCCCTAGCGTGGGAATAGCACGCACAAGAGGATGCAGGGGCTGATTTACGTCACAGCACTGCGTGTAAAACAACATGTTACAAAAGGGCATTTTATAGAAAGGAAAAAAATGCTTGCTGAAGAGCAGAAGAATGTTTGTCTTTCTGCTTTTAGCTTAACATGGCTCTTTTTTTAGTTGCTCAGCTAAGATGACTGAATTTGTAGTAGGTGAAAATGCCAGGGAGTCATTGAAGTGATCTTGAGAAAGCCTGTACCATGTTCCACAGCTCTTCCAAAACACACCACTGTGCTTCTTATGGCAGATGCTTGAGACCAAAGTATGAGGCAATGGCAGCACCATTGTCTGTTATATATAAAAATATAAATTAAAGAAATGCATTTTACAAGACCCTTGTGTCAGACAACATATATTATAAATCCATGCTGGGATTGTCAGATATTAAAGGAAGTGTCAATTAAAACTAAGCCAGCAGATTATTTGCAGTAAAACAAACAAGGATTTGTTCTTTCTCAACTTTTTCTCTCTTTCTCTCTCACCCTAATTCTCACTTTTCTCATTCAGCAAACTTTGTAAATCACTGACAGAAATAAACTGAAACCTTTTCTCTGGCCTTGGAACAATCCACAGCTGAAGTAAAAATGCTAATGCAGGTGATTCTGGTAGAGGTCTGATGCCACCTAAAGTCTCCACCAAGTCTTGCAGTAAAAGAAATGAGCATCTAACAGCTCTGCAGTTATTGTTTATAGTTCTTTGTGGCTACAAGTTTGCAGTGTGAGAAAATTAATTCAGTCACGTTGGATCCAAATTTCTGTCATCTTAGCCTGCGAGAGGCAGATGTAGCTGTGATATGGAGAGTTTGTCATTATTCCCCTGATGTTAAAATTCGCTCGGTAATGATATTTCTTAATTTTTAACATTTGGAAACCACGTAACTGAAAAAGGGAATCAGATTCAGTAGATGAAAGGAAAACATATGCATGACATATTCCATGATAATATCAAGCCTTAAAGTTTAGGACATACCAACCTGTATTTTAGCGTACTCTGCTGAGTAGGATCAATACCTTCATCACTGAAGTTGGTTAATAAGCCCATTAAAATGTATTATAATAAAAATATACTGTTGTCAAAAAAACCTGCAATCTTTGAAAAACATGTTACTTTTATCAGCTTTCCTTTGGAAATAAGTATTGATTGTTGCGGGCCTTTTATATCTGGTGTATTTGGTATATTTTATATTTGGTAGAGTTTTTCTTGAGGATATTTTTTCCCCAATTTTATTTTACTTTTCACTTTCCTTTGTTCCTGTGCTAGTGCTTGACTTAAGAACATTACTACTATGTACTTGACTTAAGAACATTACTATTATGAATTTTTACTACTGATGTGGTTGTAACAGCTAAGATCTGAAGCTGCTTTTGGGTTTTAAGCATTGCTCAAAATGGCTGCTTTTGGGGACATTGAATTTGACTTCTAGATCAAACCATCTCCTGACTGCTATGAAACAAATGGATTCTGATTTGAAACCAATAGATTCTAGTTTAGTACCTTTAGTTTGAAGTCTGCTGTGAACTACCACACTGCACAATAGAGAGGGTAGGGACTAGAAGGGGACCAAGGCCTGTCAGAAGTCAGAAGAGACAAGAGAGGCAGCACCTTGGACACTTGTATTTCAACAGGCTGAGTTTCTCAGAAGGTGGAAGGTGTTGTGAACCAAGAAAAGCCTTTGCTAATCTGGTTGTTCATCTCTCCCCCAGCACCCTGTCGAGCTGCTCCCATGCTGTAGTGGCCCTGCTGTACCCTTTCTCCTGGCAGCATACCTTCATTCCTGTCCTGCCCTCATCCATGATTGACATCGTGTGCTGCCCTACCCCCTTCCTGGTGGGACTGCTCTCCAGCTCTCTGCCCAAACTCAAGGACCTGCCTGTAGAGGAGGTAGGAGCTGGCACCACAATTGTTTGCCTGGAGTAAAACTGGCTTCTCCTAAGAGAGGGCTGCCACTGGGACATAAATCCTCACGTTTAATTTTTAATCTGCCTCTTTGTTTCTTCTCTGCCTGGTTCTCATGGGCAGCTGCCTCTTGGCAAAACTGCGGCTGTAGCTTTATTCTTCTCTTTTATTCTGCCCCTCTTCCATACTTGGCACCTTGTCAGAGACAAGTGAGTATTTTCATGGTCACCAGCAAGTAGGGTGTAAATATGCTGATTTGTTCTGGAACAAGAGGAAGCCATCTGCTATGACATCTTTTAATCCTTAAGAAAGTGGTGCATGAAGCCATAGCCCTCAGTGGAAACAAAACCTTAAACAATTTTAACTTTTAAGACTTTGTTGTTACTGTATTGGAAATCAAATGAGAGTTGCACTTCATCAGCTCTTTCAGTAAAATAACACAAAAATACTCAAGGAGTCTTTTCTCTCTTGCTCCTATCAGTTCCCTGTTGTTTTTCTAAGGAATTTTCTTGTGCTCTCTTCCAAGGCCCTGTGTGCCTCTGGCCCATGTAAATCTCTGCTCTGTTTTCCTTCCGCTTTCCTAACATTGCTCTTCCACATCTTTCTAGCTGCATCCCTCAGCTTTGCTGCTTTGTTATCATGAATATTTCACATCCTTGCCCTTTGGAATCCCTGCTGCCTCCACACTGTTTTCTTTAAACCCCTCTGAAACACTTTTGAACTGCATGTTAACAAAAATTATTAATTATAATTTGTGTAGATTTAAGAAAAAAAACGCTTTAGCTCTTTTTAATATGTTAACCTAGTACAAGACCTGTTGCATCTATGTTAAATTAGACTTGTATCTCCAAAGAAAACCTTCATGTTGTTTCATAAAGCACACAACCTCTTGTTTTACAGTAGGAATTTGACTCATGTCAAGGCTTGTTCTGCAGATGATCTTTTGCTATTAAAAAGCAATGAACAAATGAATGTTTTCTGTATCTTCAGATACATTTCACTGCAGTGTTTTCTTTTCTGTAGGCTTTGATGGTTAACCTGGGATCCGATCGATTCATCAGACAGGTAAAGTACAGCTCAGATTGCTGCCATGCAGTCTAGCACACTGTTTACTCCTCTAGTATGATTTGGTTTCTTTAATCAGAGGGATTTGGCAGGAATTGTGTGTGCAAAGGGAAAGCAATGAGGAAAAAAAAAGTTCTCATTTTCTGTTCCACCTGCAAATAAGAACTTCTCAGACATGCAGAAAGGATTGAGGCTGTGACTGTCAGAAGGAATCAAGAACTGTATTCACAGTGGAAAGAAAACATCCAAAGACAGTAACATCACTTGAGCAAGAAAACTCACTGTTGGAGGTGAAAAGAGCAAAAATAGCAGAGAAAATTCCCGAGTGTGAGCACAAAGGTGGAGAATAGTTCAATGTTATGAGAAAAGCAGGAGCCTTGTAAACAAGATGAGGGATCACCATCTCCTGACAGTCATGTGGCACTAAATAATTTCAAGCCAACAATCTGCAGGTTGGATGAGGAAACTTGTGTTTAATTCCCTGGCTGGTGAACAGTGGCTGCAGAGCCAAGGCTCCTGTGCCTACTTGGCTTCTGCTGAACAAGCATAAAATAGGATGAAGAGAGCAACAGGAGCAAGACCCAGATAACAAGATAGACTACAAAACAGTAAAAACCACTGCCAAGGACCAAAGGAGCTGCCTAAAGCCAACTACAGCAGCTGTGTGTACACCTAGCAAGGCTTCACATGATGTATGTTTAGTTAAACATAACTATTTGGATTCTTTGTCATGTAAAGAACTGATTCCACATTTCTGTGTTTACCTGCTCTTTGGATTATCATTCCTGACTTTAATCTTATTAAGAGCGACAAGAAATTTTGTTCAGAAGTATTTGTTAGTTGCACATAGATTCTCATTCTTTTATTTAGGTAGCCATGGCAATAGCAGATACAAATATTTTTCATTTGATTTCTAAACCTTCTGAAAGTATTTGCTGTAGTTCCTGCATAGATTATTGTGGTTTAAAGATTTTTTTTCCCCCTCCTATCAGATGGATGATGAAGACACACTATTACCTAGAAAATTGCAAGCTGCTCTGGAGCAGGCTCTGGAGAGAAAGAATGAACTGATAAATCAGGATTCAGATAGTGATTCAGATGATGGTAAGTTCATTTGGAAACAGGGACTTCTGTAATAAACAAACATAGGTAGAACTGTGACTTTCCATGCAGGAGAAACAAAGATGGGACCTGAGCTCTCAAATACCTTTGGTGACATCAAAGATTGTCTCTGAGCACTCGGGGAATGAGACTGACGGCATCAACCCACAGTGATACCTCACCCATGATTTATTTTAATTTCTTTGTAAATGACATGGACTCCTGTGGGTCCCTCTGAACCTTTGCTCAAACAGAAGTTTGCAGTTAAATTGGCCCTAACTCAATCCAGATAATTCTCCAGGCTTAGAGGTGTGTCTGAGTTTGGAGTTGCTCTTGGCACTTGGTATTTTCAGGGGAGAGAAGCAGGTACAACCAGAAAAGAATTTTAGTCCAAGATGGGTTGGGTTGTATCTGAAGGCTCATATTTCTCTTCAGCAGTGATAAAAAGAGCCCAGGGTGAATTGAGATTCCTGTGGTTAAAAGGTATGAAACAGGCCCCTATTCAGTTTTTGAAATTTGTTTCTAGTCATATATATTACATATATAAGACTACTTTAAAATCTCAGAAATTGTGAAAACCCAAATTCTACAACAGACCCCTTTTGATCAGTTTTTGGTACAGGCTTATTATCCTCAGGGAGAAATATTTTAATGCTGAGTTATTCAGAAGTTTATGAAAAGAGTTTGCTGAAGAGTGAAAATAGGAGGTTTGATTTTGATGAAACATCCATCAAATGTTTAATTTTCTGAGCTGTTTCCTGAGGATTTGTAATTCTCGCTGACTCTTGGTCAAGGAACACCACTTCTGCAGACTGGCACCCGTGGTTATGGCGCTGTCACCCTCTCCATGTGCATCCAGGTGTGCAGGGAGCCGCTGCAACTCCTGCCAGTTGTTAGCACGGCATCAGGGAACCGGGAGATGCGCAGCCTGGCCCTGTGGGGGTAATGCTGACAGCTCTGGTAGCAGCTGATTTTGGTGTCTTATTGCCGCCTTATTTTGCAGAATGTAACACCCTGAATGGATTAGTGTCTGAGGTTTTTATCCGATTCTTTGTGGAGACAGTTGGCCATTATTCCCTGTTCCTAACCCAGAATGAAAAAGGAGAGCGTGCCTTCCAAAGGGAGGCTTTCCGTAAATCTGTGGCCTCCAAGAGTATCCGCCGCTTCTTGGAAGTTTTCATGGAATCCCAAATGTTCGCTGGCTTCATCCAGGACAGAGAGCTGAGGAAATGCAGGGCTAAAGGTAAGGGTGGTGTCTCCCCTGCCGCGCGGGTTTCTGTAGCGCTCGGGTCCCGCGGATCGCGGCAGTGTCATCCCCCTGCACTCACCGGGAAAGCGGAAACGCGTCCCTAAAATGCTGCCCGGTTAACCGGAAGGTCGCCGTGAGCCGAGGCTGCCGGGGCCGTGCCCGCGGGCACCGCGGGATGCGGGATCAGCGGGACACGGCTCACCCCGATCCCTGTCTCTGTCCGCCACAGGGCTCTTCGAGCAGAGGGTGGAACAGTATTTGGAAGAGCTGCCGGACACGGAACAGAGTGGAGTAAACAAGTTCCTGCGAGGCCTCGGTGAGAAAAATCTTTAGAAGTATTTCTGAAATATGTTTTCATTTCAGGTGATGATGGGTTTTGGTTGTGTTTTGTTTGGGTTTTTTTTTAATTCGAAAAATCCGTATCTGAGGTGGGATGAGGTAGTCAAGCGGTTTCAGAATGATGGGAATTACACAAAAGAAAACAATGAAAACATAGTTAAAGGGGATAAAACCAAATTAAATTATAGTCCTTGTTAACACTTTCATTTTCACTTGTGGGGGGGGAAGCAAGCCATAATCAAGGAGCAGAACAGGAAGGTGTCGGAGCAGGCGGTGCTCTGTCACTCAGCTCTCCCTGCTGGTGCTGAGTGGAAGAGTTACCCCACAGCAATTACAAGTTAAACCCATTTGCTGTCACTTTTGATTGACTTCTGATATCTGCTAGAGACTGACGGTGTGCTTCCTTTAGGTAACAAAATGAAGTTCCTTCACAAGAAGAACTAGCTCCTTCCTGCTGGAACACCAGCCCCAAGCCTGTTTATGGCTCTGTGCGAGACACCTGCGGCGTTGGAGCGTGGAGCGGGAGGAGAGCAGAGCAAGCTGACAGCAGCTCCGGGCAATGACTGATGCTGTGTCAGTGATGGCTCCTCTGTGTACTTGGGTAGAGTTTGTACATAATGTGCTGTAAGCTTTTGTAACTGATTTTGTAATGAGCGAGAAAACTGTGGTAAATATTTGTATATTCCTGAGAATACCAGGTGCTTGTTTCTTTCTTTAGTATGAGTTGAGTTATGCTTGGTGCAGGAACGAGTAGCTGATGATGTGTAGCCGACTGTCTCGGCAGAACCACTGACTTCAAGGGATGTTTGATGCCTGAACACTGCGGGGTGAATGAGCTCGGGTACGTGGGAGAGGTTGTACACATGGGGCCGCTCTCGTGAGGCACAGGCGCTTGTCTGTTTCCTTCAAATTAATTTTAAAGGAGAAATAACAAAGCGACTTGATAATAAGGTACTTGGTTCACATTACAAAACCTCCACTTGGTTTGAACTCTGGTCAGTAAACTCCTTGTAACCCATTCTGCACTAAGACTGCTAAGCCTGGGGGGATCTCAGCTCTCTGACATGCAAGCTGCAGCGAGTAGGTACAGTACAGCCTTTCCTAATGTATGTATGTATGGATCCTAATAAACTCTGTAAATAGACCTCTTTGTTTATATTCATTGCAGACCTCTGCACTTCCTCATGTGGAGCAGGTACAAACCCAGCACCTTGCCTGTGACTTTTTAATGAATTTGTAATTAAAATGTAAAGTGGTTATTACGAACCTGTCTTTTGGTAGGTTTGCTGTTTCACAACATGTGGTTTGGGGTTTCTTCAGTGTTTTTCACCAGGGCTAAGACAAGTCATTTTATACCACTCTTTAAAAAAAATTATCCTAACAGAAGCATCTGTTAAAACATTTCGTCATGGGTTAGCAGTGAATTATTTTATCATTGTATCACAGATACTGCTTCTGACCTATGGTATTTTCAATTGGCTTAGTGCTGTGCGTGGTGCTCAATTCTTCCTTGGTCTGGAAACAGAACTCCTGTTGAGGTTCTAGAAGTTTTCCCATAGTCTGAAGAAGAAAATATTAAAAAAAAAAATAATAAAATGCTTCAATATGTTGCAAGTCTGACAGAGAATAAAAATTAGCTAAAGTCTCTTACCTTTAAAGGAAACCCACCATGCTCTGGTTTTAGTCATTTGCAGTGTGATTGCTGTAGTTAGATGGGCCTTGAGGCTTGCGCAGTTCCTAACCTGACAGTGGTTCTGGTTTGCTATCAGCCTCATAGAGCAAATTCGAGGGGCTATTCACTAAAAAGGTGAAGTCGTTTCCTTTTTCAATTACCTCCCTCACACTCGAGAATACACAAAAGCTTCTTAAGTGCACGTGAAATGTCTGTAAAATACCAGGTGCTTTTTGATTCAGAGGAAATGTTGCCCCAACTGATAATTTCCATTAGTTTTACTCCTTACTCCGTAATACCCTCCAAGTTGCAGAATGATTCCTAGATGTAATCGCTAAGATTGGAAGGAATAATGTCACTTGTACAGGTGGCTTCTGGCCTTTTTATAAACAACATCTGCTAGTAAATGTAGGGGGAAATACATAATTCCTCTTAAGAAAACGATGGATAAAACTTTATCAGGATGTGCTGTGGACTTACTGCAAAGGCGAGACAAAGCCGCGGAATGCCGATGTAGGAGAATGTGGTGCTGTAAAACCCATCTCCTGCGCCAAAGCTGCTTTCCTCCACTTGCAGTTTAAAAATTAAAGGAGAAAGCTTTTAAACATTGTGTTATCTGTCAACATGTTCCTGCTTTTGTAATGTGAATCAGAGGATACTACAGGACAAGGTGAGATCATGGCCCAAAAAATCTGTGGGTGCCTTTTTGATCCTCAGACAACAGATGTGTAAAACAATCCTTGTATTATCTGGAAGTCTGTGTTCTACAGGATCAGATGAACAAAAACCAAGGAGTGCGTTGTTTTCCCTTCTAAATTAGTTGTTAAAACTAATGGTGTTACTGAGCAAGGAACAGTGTAAGTGCACCAGGAAAATTAATAAATAAATAAATAAATCCAGTGCTGAGGCCTGTGTTTAAAATTGGTGTTTTGTTTAAAATCATAACAGTATAAAATAAATTTTAAAAAACCCGTAGAAACCAAGCTTAAGAAACAGTAACACTCCAGGACTTCACACTTCAGTATGGCAAGTAATTGTGTTTAAAGACGTAGTGTTCATTTTCCCACTGTTATGGCTGTATAATAAAGTGACCAAACTTGCAAATTTTCCTAAATTCTGGTCAAAATGCTGCATTTCCGTGGCGGGAACAGGCAGGGAGCTCTGCCCGGCTGAGGACTGGGCAGGCGCCGGCGCGGTCCCTCAGAGCTCCGCGCGCCGCTCCCGCCTCAGCGAAACCTCGCGAGATTTCAGCCCCGCCCCCGCGCCTTTGCCCGCTCTCGCGAGAGCCGCGCCCTTTCTCTCCCTCGCGCACGCCGGCAAGATGGTGGGAGCTGCGTCCGGGCCGGGCCGGGATGGGATGGGATGGAATGGGACCGGAGCGGAG